AGGAGGAGCTCTGCTTAAGAGGAGCGTTTAGATCAGTCACGGCGTCCCTCCATCTAGCCAGGGGAGGGATTTTACCACACTCAAAGGAGGCATTGAGGCTCCCCATTCCGCTATTTGTCTTGGAGGAGTATCTTGGAGGGCTTGACCGGTTGGTCCAGGTACAACTAAGTTTTCTAGAAATCCAGAATCTCCTACACAGTGGTGACGAACACCACGTCTATTACGCTCTCTGGAAGGAAGGGCCCCGGTTTGGCAACGAAGGTCTAGAACTAGTTGAGCTGATTAGAGCAGCTTCACCTAGGAGCTTGAGGCGAGCACCTGACCATGATCAACCGATTGAATTCTGGGCTACCTTCGAGAGGGCTGTACGGGAGCCACCTAGTTATCTAGCAGGGTTGGCAAAGCTGTTTAGTGGGAGGGGGTTCGACCCATCGGTTAGGGAGGCGTCTCTCCTGGGGTTCTTCGAGCTGCGCTCGTACTATAGGCAAGTCGGGGACTGGGACGAGGACCAGGAAGAGGAGCATTAGCTGGAAGACTGGCCTGAGGAATCGTTATTCGCCAACGAAGCGGAAATGCGGTAAGCGCAATGGCCACGGTTGGGGGCCTAGAGTGAGCATGGTAGGGAACTCTATGTCGAGGGACGTGCAAGTCGGGAATGAGAGGACGATAGTAGATGGAAAATGGTTGGTTACTGCCCTAGGATTACAGCTGCCCTGGACGCCTTAGTTCCCTTTACTAGTGGGGGGGGCTTCCCTTACAAAATAGAGAGCTGTATATCTCTAGAAGAAAGTCATGCTCCGGGGAAAGCTTATGTCTTGGTAATAAAGCATCTGGACTCGGGAGGGTACGACATCCGCCCATACGTGTCGCTGCTAAGGGAGAGAGGGACGGATCGCGAGTCGCTTAAGAACTGGATTAGAGATATAATCAGTAAGGAAAGGAGGGAGTTAGAGAAGAAGGGGAAAGAGGTGTTTAGTGACGTGAACCCCGTGTTGTTTTACGGTATTCCCGAAGCTAGTCTACCCGACAGTTTTACTGATGGCAGGAACTGCGAGTCTGTAATTAATATGGCGCTCAGAGCAAGGAATTGGGGTCAGTGAGGCTGTCGGGTCTCAGGGAACAGTTCTCCTTCGGGGTCATAGTAGAAAGGAGAACGGTAAAGGTTGAAGGGATCCTCCAAATTCCTAATATAGATCTTTTTGGGTTTGAAGAGCTTGAACTCATACAACCTTATCTGAATCGTATGAGGGAGTCGGCTTTAAGGGTAATTACCAACCAAACCGAGATCAATTATTTACTGAAGGTGGAAAGACTAGGGACCTCCGGGAGGAAATACTATCGTCTGGTCAGGGAACGAGTTCGGTTGTGTTAGGCGGGCGTGGCAAAAATGTTGGGCCATGAACGAGTAAGGCATAAGAAGTCTGCAGAGAAACTTGAGGAGTGGGATAACAAGATCATCGTTGGGAACGGACCGCCACAGGAGAAGTTTGATGCGGTGTGTGCATCCTTGAGTACCCTAGAAAGAAGGGAGGAGTTTCCGTATGAGGTGGAAACCTATGAGATGGTCGACAGCGCATGAGAACTAAGCCGCTTCTATGTTATGACTGCGCGCTTCCTAGGGACTCAGGTAAGAGACGTAGGCATTTACTTACCAACGGAGAGGTCGGAAGATTTAGTGTATGGACGTTGCTGGCAAAGAGCGAGAGAAGTGGTAGAGGACGAGAAGGATAGGCTTCTTTCCTTAAGGAAAGAAGTCGCTTGGAGTACCGAAATCAGGATCTTTGAACACTTACCTAGGCCGCGAATTCCTTACGAAGCATTGATAGGGATCGGTCGAGGTCTAATAGTTGATTTCATAAACCGGCACATAGCCAGCCTGGGGGGGATATATCACGTGAACTAAGACAGCGTGACCGTGATAGGTGGAGGTTCCAAGAGTTGCTCAGACTTTTGACGGAATGGACCCAGGAGGACTTGAGTACTCTGGGCACGTCGATCTGTAGGAGAGTTCGATCTAATGAAACAGGGTTGATAGAGATTAAGAGAGGAACCTCTTGCCTACAAGATCAAGAAGGGGAACTCTACCTTGACACGGGCCTGTTCGGAGTAGAAGGTGAGCATGAGATAAGAGATGACAGAGGCAGACTGATAGGAGTCTTAAGAGTTGTTAAGGACCAGGACAGGAAATGCGAGAAAAGATAGTGCTTTCGAGACTGGGGGTGGGACAAGAAGCGATGGTAGGAGACGTGACGGAAGATGAGGAGATCCAGAAGACTGGATAAGGAAGAATTGAAGAGGTTGGTCCGTTCCCTTAACTCTATATCGAAGAGAGCAGTGATCCCCTATGAGATTGTGAGATATGAAGGTCTAAGGAGTCAAGGGTGGGGGTTAGATGGTATGTATGTTCTCACTTACTACTTTATGGAGCTTGACGAGTATGACGTTGGGATATACATGCCGCAACATAGGTTTAAAGAAGACGAAAAAGGGCGTTGTAGGCAACGGGCGTCGAACATAGTGCATGACGAGAAGAGAAGACTCTGACGACTAAGGACGAATTTATCCTGGAGTACCTACGTTAGGCCTTTCATCAGGATACCGTCGCCGCCAGTTGAATGGCTTACGCTCGCTAACAATGAATGGTCAGCCGTAATAGACCTCGTATGGAAGGTTCAGAGGGCGCAAGACGAACTCAACGATGCCAGGAGCAGTAACTGAAGAGGAAGAGGTGAATCGGGTATCATTCGCTGGCAGAGTGACATCTGTCATTAGAATTCGGTCGACCAGGTCTCTAGACGAACAGGGTTGTAGACAACTTGCTCAAAGGGCAATTGAGAAGGAAAGACCTAGGGTTCTGGAGCTAGTGAGAGCAGAGAGAAGAATAACCTATGATGTGATGGTTTGGTCTCAAGGATGGTTGAGGTACGAAGTGGAGAAGGATGAGACAGTCCAAGAAGCAGAATCTCGCGTGTGAGAGGAAGTGACGAGAAGGTTAACTCATTACTAGAAACATACTCGGACCGATAGACGATAAGATAGTACAATTAGTGGACGGTATAAGGAATGGAGAGGCTCTACGAACGTGCAAGAATTACGGGCGCTCGAACAGAAAGTTGAGGAGCAAGCCTTAATCTGTAAGGAGGAAAGGGAAAGGATAATAAACTGGAGGGAGAAGTTTCTGGCAAGGAGGATAATAGAGATCCGCAGAGAAACCAAAGAGAGGAGGAATGGCTAGTATCGAAGGCGCGACCAAGAAGTATCAGCTAGTCGGGGGAGCAAAAATTGAAGGGTCCCTTGTGCGAGCTAGGGTCGAAGTGATACATAACGAAAGGCTGAGTCAGGAGGAAGAAACTGAGGCGACTAGAAAAGCAATTAAAGAAGCAAGGATCTGTGCTATCTGGAAGGCGGCTGACGAACTCCGATAGGCAAAGATTGAGATCTGTACGACGTCGTTTGAAGGAGAGGAACTTTTCAGGGAGTGGAAAGAAACTATAGTGGAGGCAAAGATTAGACTAAGGGAGGACGTTCACGGGCCTGAAGAGCTTTCTAACGACGTGATTGACGGAGTTTCCCTGAGAACCTTGGAAGCTAACTCACGTTATACGAAGGCTTTGTTGACCACGGCTTTGGTAATCAGGGCGGAAGGACAAGACACTGACTTCGAAGAGCTGCAAAAATTGTTGGACGGTTCTACTGAAAGGATCCTAGCCGCTTTAAGAAGTGTGGCCGAAAGCTAGGCAGGGTGTTTAAGGATTCGTTACGAAGGATGGACAGAGAAGGACCTTATCTAACCTCGATAGGGGATGAAGTGAAAACACACGAGTCGAGAACGAATAGTCCAGACAGAAAAATGAGTGTCGACGTGGACAACGACGCGGAGAGAATAAGGAGAGTCTTAAGAGAACTAGATACTCGTGTCAAGGAACCGGAGGGACGAAGCTCTGGGAACGAAGGCTGGAGGAAAGAAGCTATGAGCAGGACAAAGATGGCAAAGTTTGTGGATCCTGGGGTAAGAGAACCTCATAGGGAGGTCTCGAGTGAGCCTTACAGGAGGGGTCCCTATTCCATGGCGTATGCACTAGGCACTTATGTGTCTCCCTTCCTAGGGGCTCCAGTGTTACAATCTCCCGGGCTGGCTGGGATTCAGACAATCTTCACAGGGAAGAATGTCACAAAATTCCAAGATGATTGGGAAGTGTTAGGAATGCGAGCGAGGTGGAGTGATCAAGATATGATAGTGAACTTCCTCCATCGTACAACCCCAAAGATAGACCATGAAGTGAGGGATGCCATCCCAGATAATTGGCGCTGGTTGACGTTCAGGGAGAGAGTTGCCAGAGTCTTTGCATGTGACGAGACCTCTTACTCAATAGATGACTTGAAAAAGATGAATAAGCAAGAAGATGGGAGTCTGGTGGCGTTTGCAAGGAGATACGAGAAGGCGTGTAATCCCCTGGTAGAAGGAGGGTTTATGGGGGAGATAGAGCGATGCGGGATATTTTTAGGGTTTTTATCTCGAGAAAAACGCGATAAGATCATGAGGGACCTGCCGTCAAGGGTGGTGTTCGGTCAAGTCAAGCTTTTAGTCCACGACACGGAGGGGCAAAGCGCTAAAGCACACCTCGCAAGGATTCTCGACAACCTAGGGAAGGAAGTAACTGCGGACAATGGGGGAGGAAGACCTCAGTATGAGGATAGAAGATCCCGAATTGAAGGAAGAGATGTTGGCACAGGCTCGCCTAGGAGGGGTGAGTCAGTCAGAGGCGACAACGATTGGAAGAAAGGAGGAAGAGGAGACTGGAAAAGGAACGACGGAGAATGGGGAACTTCTTCCAAGTGGTCCAACATTAAGGATAGATGGTGGAAGCAGAAGAAAGAGATAGAGGTTAGGAAGTCAAGTTCTGAAGGCCGCGATGGAGAAGTTACAAAGTAATAATCAAAGGAAGGAAGAGACCCCGACTCGAGCCGTTCCCCGAACGGAGAATCGCGGGGACCCTAGTCCGAAGCGGACTTGGAATAGTAAGGCCTGTATCTACTGTGGAGACAAGGACCACCAAAAGAGAGACTGTCGGGCGATGATGGAAGCCCTGACGGAGGGCATCATCGAGTTAGATGATCGGAAATATGTGATGTGGGCGGATGAAGGGAAGTCAGTGCCCTTCCTACCCTCGATGAAGATTAATGTAGATATCAAGAGGCGAAGGATGAATGAGGCAAAGGGGAAACTAGCGCAAGAGTCAGTGGCAGCAAAGGTCTCCCGAGTGATATTTGAGGAGGATCTTGATGAGTTGCCGGAGAGTCCTGGGATGAGGATTTCATCTATTAAGTTTGAAGAAAAAGAGGATAATGGGGAAGTTTACGTGTGCACTCAGGGTGTTGGCGAATCGAGTAAAGGAAAGAAAGAAGACCAAGACCAACCAATGATGGGCGAGCAAGTGGAGTCGCCAAAGTCACCCCAGTCCCCTAGAAAAAGAGGGGCCAAGAAGTTTCACTTGAAAAGTTCACTGGATGAGGTAGATTTGAGGGAGCCGTTAAGGAGGGCTATGGAAATGTCCATTCGTATTACCTTGAAAGAGTTCATAGCCAGTTGTGGGCCAGCGCGAGATGAGCTAATAGGAATGATAAAGAAGGCGAAGGTACCACTAGCGGAGGCTGCGGTTTTGAGCGAGCCGAAGATAAAAACGAAGACATTTGTTCTAGCGGTGGAGAAAGGAGAAGTAGAGCATCTAGAAACCAATGATGGTGGGGGCGATTATTTTTATGTCCTTGGTAGCGGGAAGTTGAACGCCACCGTCAATGGGATAAGGATGAAAGCTATAGTAGACGACGGGTCTGAGTCTACCGTCTGTGAGGATAAAGTGGCCCGAAAGCTGGGTCTAGAAGTGGACAGGAATGTAGCCATTACCATGGTATCAGCCAACAAGCCAAAGCAGCCTGCGCTAGGGGTGTGTCATAAAGCCAAAGTCGTAGTCGCTGGGGTCGAGGCCACTGTACCTGTATTCACAGTTGAACACTGCTCCTCGGAGCTAATTCTTGGACGAACGTGGCTGACACGTGTCAATGCCACTACCGAGAATAAGCATGATGGGAGCCAGACGGTTACCATAGACGAGCCCGAGGGAAGCAGAGTCACCCTAAAAACTGTGAATGAATTTGACAAACGTCATAAGGTTTCCCTACAGAACAAGGGACTGTTAAAAACGAGAAGTTGTCAGATGATTCCCGAGGAAGTCACTCTTGGACCTCATAAAGTGAAAGAAGCAAAGATTGAAGTTGAGGACTCGGAGGGCAAGTACGTGGTCGATGGAATGGCTTATGAGAAGGAGGTTGACGACGACGAGTTTGGTGGGTGCGTGAACCTATCTTTTTTGGAGGAATTCCCCCACACAGCGGGGGAAAGAGATACAAAACAGTAGCGCAAAAAGTCAAGCCAGCCGCGGTCAGCCGTGATAGGACCGGGGAGGTAGAAATCACTGAGAAAGAGATCACTCAGATGATTAGGGAGCGAAAGGCTACTGAAGAGCAAAGAATTACCGATGAGAGGATAGAGGGGATGGACATGGGTGACGGGAACATAACTAAAGAAGAGAGGGAGTTGATAATAGACACCTTGAGAGCGTATGACAAGGCAATAGTCTTTTGTGATGCGGAGAGAGGAAGGATAGATCCTAGATATGCTAAGCCCGCGAGGATCTATACGGTGCCGCACGTGCCGTGGAATGATGTTGGGTGGAAGTGCGTGCAAAAGGAGAAGGAGATGATACTGAATTTCTTGAAGGAGAAGATAAGAACGTTCGTAGCAGAACCATGTGAGAGCGCCTACGCCAATAGATGGTTCTTCATTCGGAAGTCGAATGAGAAGCTTCGATGGATACAAGACCTACAGAAAATGAATAAGGTTACAGTTAGGGACGCCAGATCTATCCCGAACGCAGATCTTCTCTCTGAGGGAGCTGCCGGACGCTCGATTTACTCGGTCTGCGACCTTTTCTCAGGCTATGACGAGATTCTTCTTGATTACCGAGACCGGCACCTAACGGCCATGCATACGCGGTTGGGGCTAATACAGATGATGGTTGTACCTATGGGATGGACCAATGGCGTGGCGGTCTTTCAAAGAGAGATGGTGGTTGTCTTAGGAGAACTCATACCGAATCTGGTGGAGGTTTTCCTGGATGATTTCCCAATCAAGGGACCCTATGAGAAGGACGAGACTGTGGTGAGGCCTGGAATAAGGAGGTTCGTCGCTACCCATGTTGAAGATATTAAGAAGGTGCTAGTGAAGTTGGAGGATGCTAATCTAACCGTAAGCGGAACTAAAAGTAGGTGGGCATTGTCTTCTATACAGATACTAGGCTACATCTTTGACAAGGATGGTAGAAGGCCGGATCCCGCAAAGTTAGAGAAGCTTATGAACTGGCCTACTCCGCTACGACATATTACTGATATACGTCAGTTGCTGGGAGTGGTTGGATTCTTGAAGAATTTCATAAAGGGCTATGCTGGGAAGGCTGAGCCGCTAAGGAGGCTCTTTCGCAAACGAGTGGAGTGGAGTTGGACGAGTGAGAAGGAGGATACTGTGAAAGCCCTGAAGGATGAATTTAAAGAAGGGGGACAAGTTCTCGGTGTTCCTTACTTTGAGGACGAGGAGAAGCGACCATTTGTGGTATGCACGGATGCGGGGCCTGCCTCCATTGGGGGAGTCTTAGCTCAGAAAAACCAAGAGGGCCGTGAGAGACCTCTTAGATTCGAGAGGAAGACCTTAAACACCACTTAGAGGAACTATTCACAGTTTAAGAAAGAAGTCCTCGGGGTGCTACACTGCTTGAATGTCTTTCGTCATTATATTTACGGTCGAAGATTTGTACTACGGGTCGACCCAACAGCCGTGGCGGCCGTCTTACAGAAAGACTTTTCATTGACAGATCCCATAATTACTAGATGACTCATGTATATAAGAATGTTCGACTATGTGGTGGAACGGATATCGGGGGCTAAAAATTCGGTTGCGGATGACTTATCACGAATTCCGTTAGAAGAAGGGAACCTAGGATCGCTTGCGGGAGTCGATAAGTTTTTGCAGATGGAGATAGACTCTATGAGAATGGAGCCAAGTACGACCAGGACTCCGTTGTTCCTTGAGAACCTCTTTACAGGAAAATACCACCGGATAGAGCGATACCTCATAGGTGACGCCGAGACGGATGATAAGGTTAGGAAGGAGGCTCAGCAGTATTGCCTAAAGGCAGACCACCTCTTTAAGAGACCGCCTAAGAACGGAATGTCGAAGAGGGTCGTCTGTGATGAGGATGAGCAACGAGACATAATAGCGGAGCTTCACGACGTCGTTGGAGGACACACAGGAGTGGAAGGAACCTTTGAGAAGGTCAGGAACCTTTATTGGTGGGATGGTCTATATAGGGACGTGGAAGCGTACTGTCTCACATGCGTGGAGTGTCAGAAAAGGGTTGTAGTTAAGTATAGGGAACCCCTATTTCCTTCGTATCCTACAACGGTAGGTCAGAAAATTCACGTGGATTTAGTTAAGATGCGCAAAGGAGAAGGGGGAATGAATTATATCATGGATATTAGGGACGACTTGACCGGATTTGTAGAAGCATGGCCGTTACGTCAGAAAACCGGCAAGGCTGTTAGTGGATACCTTACGAAATATATCACGCGGTATGGTTGCGTAGGAAAAATCGTCATGGATAGGAGATCAGAGTTCATGGCTAAGGAAGTTCAGGAGCTGCTCCAGTGAGCGGGGATACGGGTGTCACTGTCCACGACATACCATTTCCAAACTAATGCTCATGTAGAAAGTGGACATCAGTCTCTAGTGAATGCGCTCGCCAAATGGTGTGAAGGGAAGGAAAAGAAGTGGCCTAGGCTCTTAAGATTCGTTGTCTGGGCGGATAATATTACCGTTCGATCAACTACGGGATATCCACCCTACACTTTGTGGTTTGGCAGGCACTGTCCCTTACCAATAGAATTTCATATCGATTCTTGGCAGACAATTGCCTGGGAAGAAGTCTCGACTAGAGAACAATTGTTGGCCGCTAGAGTCAAACAAAGAGCCGAGACCCTCAAGGATAGCACCCTAGATGCTACGGAAAAGCTAAAGATCCAGAGGGAAAAGGAGAAGGTAAGATGGGATAAGCATGTCCGAGTTAGGCAAGAAGGGATACCCGAGGGAGGTCTAGTCTTACTTTACGATTCTTCGTTAGAAAGGACTTGGACCGGGAAGTAAGCGAACCGATGGATGGGCCCTATCGTGTGGTAAAGAGGCTGGAAGGTAGAGCCTATCTAATAGAGGAGCTAGATGGGGCTAGACGGGCGGAACCGGTATCAGGTGCTCGCTTAAAAATCTTTAAGGAATGTAAGGAGCCTACTTTGCATCTGCGGAAGGATAACGAGAAAGAAGAAATTGACAAGCGACTAGAAGGACGCCTGGAGAAGCGTGAAGAAGACCCTACTGGAAAGGTCACTCATGAGACAGGAGAGTCCTCTAAGATATCTACAAGAAAGGGGAAAGAGAAGGCCCTAGGGGTCAAGGGTAGACAATGGAAAGGCACGAAGAAGAAGAAGAAGAAGTCGTAGAATCGGTCGGGTTGAGGAAGGAAAAGAAGCGAAAATGCAAGGAGACTATTAAGGCCATACTGGTAGTAGACAAGACAGAGAGTGAGCGCCGCTATGAGAACGGGCAGCGGAGGTTCACCAACCGATTAGGGGTTAAAAAGAGATTAGTTAAGAAGAAGCAAAGAAAGACGAAAATGCGACAAAAAGGGACTCGGTGAGGATAAAGAAGACAATCCTGGGTTGATGGGTAGAGATTAGGAGTCAACTTTTCTCCTCCCCTTTTTCCTGGATATACCCAGATCGCTCACCAGGGACGTCGAGAATGGGGGGGGGTTGCTGTCGGGCGGCACCAGCGCTACGTCGCCCTTTACTTCCCCTACAAGGACGCGCGACAGGGTTTCTAATTATGGATTACTACCTAGTCGGGGCTCAGCGACCAAGACGAAATGCGGCAACGGAACGACGAGACGGTGATCGACTGGACAAGGGCCGAGTATTGGAAACCGGTATCCTTATAAGAAGGGGCCGAATGTAACCGCCAACAGGCTTGAAAAGGCCACCACGGAGGACGATTGCCGAGGATTCCGACGAGCGGCGCGGCCACGAAAGGTCGGGATGACGCCAAAGCTCGACGAGACGATTGAGGGAAATGGGGACGTAGGGCGTCTACCGCGAGGCTATGAGTAACTTAAGCGGGGGTGGCATTCGACATTGTCTCGCCTGGTCGGATCCCGAAGGAACCAGCATCGACAAAGTGGTGAGACAGGGCTACGAGGGGGCCTTGAGACTAAGGAAAAATGGGCGCGGGTTTTTGAAGCCACGAGGAGGCCTTCCGGCCAGGGAATTCGACAGGCCTGCGGGGCTTGTATAAAAGGGGGCCGGTACCATTTGTGGGTGGGGACCACATAGGCCAAAGTAGGCCAGAGATAGGCTCGGGGAGAGCTTCGGTACCAGGGCGCTGCAAAGGGCCCGGTTCCCGAAAAATAGGCCCTCCTCGACAAAACCTGTTCGGGGGTCTAATCAGGCCCGGGCGCGGGATCGGTACCGGGGCGCTGCAACTTCAGCAGGCCCACGCCGACACTTTGGGGCGTAAGTGGGCTGAGACCGGGGGCTGCATACTTTATAAGCCCAACACGGCTCAAGTGGAGGACACTTGGGAGATGCGCAAGTAGAGGCGCGCGAGAGGAGACACGGACGGGAAGGCGCACGACCCTTCTCGCGTGCAAGGACAGGCGCACGGGAGACTGGCGCACGAGGAGCTGGCACGCACGGGCTGCAACAGGGGTCTTCAGGCGCGTGCGGACGAGACGAGCGCAGGGGGACAGCACGTGCAAGACACTGCACACATGTGTGAAGAAGGGGATCTCTCTCTCGCACGGGAAACATGCAGGCGACACGATCTGAACAGAGGCCGCGCGTCAGACGGGACACGCACGAGCTGCAACGGGGGTCTTCAGGCTTGTGCGGAAGAGATGCGCGCAGGGCGACAACACGTGCAAGACACTGCGCACGTGTGCGAAGAAGGGGATCTCTCTCTCGCACGGGAAACACGCAGGCGACACGAGCGGAAGAGAGGCCGCACGTGAGACGGGACACACACGGGAGCTGTGGCAGAGGGGACTTCGACGCTCCCGGGACACGCGAACGAGGGGCACACGAGAGCTCCGCGTACGGGAAACACGACAGACGGGAGGGGAGATGAACAGGGACACGCACACCGGACAGGTACGGGGGATCACGGAGGGGAGGAGCGCGAGACGGAACATGCACTGAAACACGCACTGGGTGTGACTGCGCACTGCCACCAGCGCACCTCCGGACACGTGAGCACCGGCTCGTGATCGTGCACAGCCACCCGCGCACCTGCGGACAGGCACGCATGGGCGCGCGATTGAGTGCTACTACCCGTGCACCTGCAGACAAGCACGCACGGGCGCGAGATTGAGCGCTTCTACCTGCGCACCTCCGGACACGCGAGCACGGGCGCGCGATCGTGCACAGCCACCCGCGGACCTGCGGACAGGCACGCTCGGGCGCGCAATTGAGCACTACCACCCGCGCACCTAAGGATTCGCGCGCGCGGGGACCCGATTGAGCACTTCCACCCGCACACCCGCATGCACACACTTGCATGCCGTCAAAATCGAACGCGCGGCCCCACATACGACTGTGCACACTCGCGCTTCTTTGCGCGCTCGCACATAGGGTCTGAATGCCCGCGCATCACTGCGCGCCTCTACTCTCTATTGCGCGCACGGGATAGCTATCCGCGGGGAACATCCGCGCGAGGCCGCGCGCATGGGAGCTGGCCACGGAGGGGAGACCCACACACTACTGCGCCTACGAGGGAGTTACTGCGGGGAGAGCCGCGCAGTACCGCGCACACGGGATAGCAAACTGCGGGGGAGATCCGAGTGCTATTGTGCACACGGGGGAGTTGACTTCGGGGGAGATCTGCGCATCACTGCGTGAACGGGAGAGTTACTGGGGGGAGATCTGTGCACTACCGCACGTACGGGAGAACCAACATTACGCGCGACTGCAGTGCTGAAGCGAGAACGGGGAATCCCAGTGCGAAGAGAGGGTGAGGGAAGGTGCAGCTCAACATTGGGCAAGACGCCTCTTTCCGTGCGCGGACAGACCGCCCAGCTACCTGGGCTCTTCGAGCGTCGTCGAACCACCGGGCGTGACAGGGCACTCGGACCCAGCCGGGTTGCTGCACGTAACGAGCCTTTGGAGCACTGACGGGTTATCGGGCTTAACGGGCCTTTGAGACCGATGGAACACAGGGCGCGGCGAGCTTCTCGGACGTGACTAGAGTTTGATTGTGACGTCACCTTTCGGGCACATACGGATCACCAAAAGAGCGGGGCCTTTCGAGGAGGGAACAGACCCCCCCGGCGAAGACTGACCACTGATCCGAGAGACCTGAAGGGACGCATTCCGAGCGGATACTATCCCCTCGGAGGGATACTTTACCGAAGAGCTACCTGCCTAAGGGATACTTTACCGAAGAGCCGCTTGCCGAAGGGATATTTTACCGAAGAGCTACCTGCCGGAGGGATACTTCACCGAAGAGCCACTTTCCGGAGGGATACTTTACCGGAGGGGTATTTTCCCGGAAAGGGTACTTTACCAAGAGGGCATGTTACCGAAATGGGCCTTCTAGGAGGTACGCTCGCTAAAAGGTACATCCGCCAAGACGTACGGTTGTGAACAGTGAATTCTAAGGGTACGTCCTCGAAGAGGTACGACCGTGAAGTAGGCCTTCTAGGAGGTACGTCCGCTAAGAGGTACATCCGCGAAGAGGTACGGTTGTGAACCGGGATTTTTAAGGCGTACGTTGTGAAGAGGTACGACCGCGAAGCGGGCTTCCCAAGAGGCACGTCCGCAAAGAGGTACGACCGCGAAGCGGGCTACCCAAGAGGTAAGTCCGCGAAGAGGTACGACCGCAAAGCGGGCTTTCCAAGAGGTACGTCCACAAAGAGGTACGACCGTGAAGGGGGCTTTCCAAGAAGTACGCCCGCGAAAAGGTACGACCGTGAAGTTAGATTTCTAAGAGGTACGTTCTGAAGAGGTGCGACAGTGAAGCACGCTTCACATTTCGAGTTGGACCCTCCGACCAGGCGCTTGGCGACTCGGGTTTCCGAAGGGGGCTCATGGCAGCTTGGGAACATTGACCGGTCATCTTGAGGCTCTGGGACTTCCAAAGGGGCAGATTTCCGAACCAGGCGTTCCGAACAGGTACTTCGTGATTTCGATTCCCCAGGTAGCTCACGGCGGTCCAGGGGCAGTGGTTGGTCAATTTGAGTCTCGTGGACGCCCAAAACGTACAATTCCGAACCGGGCTTTTCGAAAAGGTACTTTGTGATACGGGTTTCCGGAGGGCCGCATGGCAGATTAGATCCCGTCCAAAGAGGCGCGCTCATGAACCGGGCCCTTGAAGAGGTACTGCGAACAGGGCCTTCGGAGGGGGACTTCCACCAACGGGCCTCTGGAGCGTTGTCTCGTCAAGTCGGGATCCCAGCGAGGCATGGTCTGGACAGAGCTTGAGTTATGGCCTCGATGGGCGAGGGAGGAGACGTCTGACACAGAGAGTTCAAACACCATTCCGTGGGACAGGCGTGCGAGGTATCAAAGAGCCTTCGTGAGAGGAAGAGTTAGGTGGAGATTATCCACGCGTTCCGTAGGCACTAAAACAAATCCCACGCACATAGACAGGGGGACTTCACCTGGGATCGGGGACTGTGCAGAGCACCCCATTGTACTTGACTAAATGGAGACTCTGATATTGTTCTTTTTCCTGGCTACTCTTTGAGACTTGTATCACATGGCCTCGAGTCAGTGTGAGCGACACTTTGTCTTGGATGTGTACTGACGTGGATTGTGCAGGTTACAGGAGCCCCGACCAACCCTCCCGTGGGTGATAGACGCGGCGCGAGACACAGATACTGTGTTGGAGGCTGGCAGAGCCCTTCTACCGGTTAACAACGTGTCACGATGATGGCA